TGTTTGTGTTTAACCTGGGCGAAACAGGGGTGCAGTAGGTAGGGCTGTTGCCTCACAGCAAGAAGGTCGCTGGTTCGATCCTCGGCTCAGTTGGCATCTCTGTGTAGAGTTTGCATGTTCTCCCAGCGTTCGTGTGACTTTCCTCTGGGTGCACCGGTTTCCCCTACAGTCCAAAGACATGTGGTAAGGTGAATTGGGTAGGCTAAATTGTCCGTAGAGTATGAGTGCGTGTGTGTGGATGTTTCCCAGAGATGGGTTGCGGCTGGAAGGGCATCTGCTGCGTAAAAACTTGCTGGATAAGTTGGCGGTTCATTCTGCTGTGGCGACCCCGGATTAATAAAGGGAGTAAGCCGACAAGAAACTGAATGAATGTTTACCCTGTATTTACACAGTAAAAATATATCCATAAAAAAGCTTCTAGACAAAATTTTAACTTTAAGGGGCACCTATTTTACACATTTTTCAAGGGTTGGGTCTTTTGTGTCTCCAGAATGTGTCTGTACAGTTTCATCTCAAAACACCCATCAGATTATTTATTATATCTTTCAGAATATTGGGATTTTCTGCTCTGAACACAACGTAGCTGTTTTTGTTGCCTGTGCCTTTAATGCTAGCTCACCATGCCCACTGTTCCCACGTTCCTGTCAAAGTGTGCCTCAATCTCTGCCTCGGCTGCGTCAGATAAACAGCACAGTGACAGACATGAAGGAAGCAGAAAGCAGATCTTGCGTATCGTTTGTGAGAAATACTACAGTAAGAACTGTCCCAATGATTATTTGATGTATTTGTTGTGAAGTTAATTCAAGCCTTTCGATGAGTCACACACAATGCACTTTATGCACTTTATTTTTGTGGCCCTTCCAGCCACAACCCAACACTGGGAAACACCCATACACACTCATTCGCACACATACACTACGGCCAATTTAGCTTATTCAATTCCCCTATGTGGGGGAAAACAGAGCATCCAGAGGAAATCCACGCAAACACGGGTAGAACATGCAAACTCCACACAGAAATGCCAACTGACCATGCAGGCAGGGTTTGAACCAGCGACCTTCTGCCTGTGAGGCGATTGTGCTACCCTCTGCGCCACCATGTTGCAACCCCCCCCACCCCCAATTCACAATCTATCCATCTTAAATAGTATTTGAAATTAGAATTATGGAGGGCACTAGCGAGCACCACATGGAATAGACATGTTTTTTGTGCTCTTCGGTTCTCGTGATTATTTCTTATTTTAACCAATTATTTTATAGTTTAATTTTGCTCATAATCGCCCTTTACGGTCACAGACTGCAAATCAAAAAAAGTAGACGAACCTGTGGAAGATGTAGGAGAACAAGGCACCTGTAAGTTAGATGACCAACTGTTGCCAACTCTACAGATCCTGTGAATCTTGCTGACATTATGGAGGCCATTAAATCAATGAATGGCTCTATGAATGAAAAATTTGACTCTTTGGAATCTACACTGTCTCAGACGTTGGCCACGCTGTCTGAAGTTACTTCACGGGTAACGGTGCTTGAAAGAGTAAGTGCAGAGTACGAGGGCCGTATCTCCGAACTTGAGGCTCATTGTCGCGACTGGTTCGAAACATGCAAATCCCTCACATCTAAATTAGATGATCTTGAAGGCCGTTCACGACGACAAAACATTAAGATCATCGGTCTGCCCGAAAAGGTGGAGGAAAAAAGAATTACGTCCCAAACTATGTTGAAAAGAGTAAAAAGATTCCAGGATGGTTTACTATTTACAAGAAAAATTCGAATCGTAGAAGCATTCGTACTCTAACCGCTAATATTGCCCGCAATACACTGCACGCTGAACGTGAAATTGATTAGAACTACAAACGCGGGTGAAGAGTGTGAGCAAACTACAAACATGGGGGCATGGGAGACCAACCGTTAAGTAGAGAGGCTTCAGTAAAGTTGTTTGAAAGACTTAATCAATGTCCAGCAAATTGGAACATATTCAAATCGCCTTTATACTGGAACATATTTAAATCCATGTTATATTTCACCTGCAACAACAATGATGCTCTATTAACATTTGTGTGGACATTAACTTCTGAATGCATAATTACCCAAAGCCCTAAGGAGATTTCTCTGCATGAAAGACTCGCAACTGCTGCTTCTCCAATAAGGCAGGGATTAAATATGGAAGATGTGTCGAGATGATTGACCGGGGACGTGACTAGCAACATAGTGATCTGTTAACGAGGAAGTAGGCCCTAAAGCTGGCATACTGTTCTGTTGCACACTCAAAAGTATATACCTTTGCTTCCAAAAAAATGCATACTTTTAGGGCGTAGTATGTACGTGAATTGGGACGCAGCAATTCTATTAACTAGGTCTATGGTAGCATTTTTACAGATAATATCACGGCCATTTTTTACAGTGTTATTTTTTTCTCAGGTCTGCCTTATGTTTTTACTTTTCTTTCATTTTTTTCTGCATCTATTTCCACCCCTCTCTCCCATCTTTACCTCTATCTATCTCACAGAATTCCGCCTGGAGGAAGAAGTGTCTCATTTTCTCTCATTTTTTAATAAAAGTGAGGATGTATTTTTGGAAAATATGAAATATTAATTCATGATGTGTATTAATAATGCATTATTAATATCCTGTGATGGCAAGAGGTCTTCTGTGGAAATTTATCAATTTACCTGGATTATTTTAGGTTATGTCCTGAAGGCGGCGGGATCAGTGGAACACCTTTCACAGGATGACATATGCCATGTTCTTTTTATAAATATTTGGTTAATTAATGACACCATCTCTAGCTGTAAATGTAGGAGAAAAAGGGACAAATGGGATGCATTTATGATACACTATTTAAAGCCTAAAGGCTTTTTTTGCCTCTATGATTTCATGAAGAATGTTTCCTATCCATGGAATCTGTCTATTGGACAACATATTCTATATAGAGTAAAAGCAGGGGAAGCCAGAGTGGTTATTTTATATGATAGCAGCTTTTTAAAAATATTTGACTCATAAATTGTCAGTTACCAGAAATTGGAGGTTCATATGTAAAATGTATGGCATTGGTGGATGGCAAAGCACACAGTTCTGAATTAGGCTTTGAATAAAAATACAAATGCTTTTAATAATTTTAAGAAGTCCAAAAATACTCAAATGTAATGAAATATTAGAAACATTGTCATTTGATATTTAAATATTATTAGAAAGTCAAAAAATAAATTGGTTGTAGATATTAGACCTCTTTAATTATAGCAAACTATTGATCATTCAATTATCAGCATATATTTTACACCGCGGATGCCTTTCCAGCTGCAACCCAGTTCTAGGAAACATAGCGAACTCAGCAAAATCCATTTTTATTGTTTTAATGCAAAACTTGTTGAGAGACCCGATTGTTTTTGTTTATAAAAATCATTTCGAATGAGTGAAGTGGTTCTGCATCACCTAATTTATCCATTTTGCATTCAAATGATGCCTGACCATTACTTCTAAGCCAGTGATGCTTTTGGTCTTTTAAAGAAATTGTTGATCTAAATAAAATAATTCTGTCACTATTTACTCATTCTCAAAGCATTCCAAAACTTGTATGCGTTTCTTTGTTCTGTGAAATACATGTACAAACAATGTTGAATCCAGTTGACTTTTATTGCAGGAACAAAAAACAGAGACTTTCTGTTTGCATGCAACCAGGCTTAGAACTACAGGAGGGTAAATTACATCAGAACTGCCCCAGCAGGCACACAACATCATAAGACATTTAATATTAAGTTAGATTTAGGTTGTGACATCAGGTGACCACAATTCAATAGCCATTGTCTAAAGACAACATTATTTTGACATCCAAACCCAACGTCAAATGACATTGATATTTGGTTGATTTTAGGTTGATTTTAGGTTGTGTTGGAAAGTGACCCAAATCCAACGTAAAGCCAACATCTTCAACTAACATCATATTGACGTCAAATACTGACATTTATTCGTCACATATGGCAACCAAAATCCAACGCTTGATAGACGTCATCGTGGTAACCTCCACACAACGTCAAGCTGGAACTCATTAGACAATCATTAGACGTTAATATTTGATTTTAGCCTGGACATTGCCAGCACCAACCTGATTTCACAAAGTAGGATATGTTCCTGGATTAACATCTATGCTGATCCTGGAACAACTTTCCAATCAGCCAATCAGGATTAAGCGATAAGTTTACCGTTTATGTTTAGGCTTACGCTTTATGCACTTCTACATTATTGTTATTCAACTTTATACCCCTCTGATTTTGGGAAGAATTTACAGTTACAGTTGGGTTTAGGGGTAGGGTATAGGTATGGATTACATTTTGAACAAAAAAGATGTAGTTCTAGAATCAACATAGATGTTATTCCAGGATTGCATCGTACTTGGCAAAATTATGACATGTGCAATCATGTTGGCGCTCACGTTTTCGACCCCTTTTTGTGCATATGCCATTATTTATAAATGAAAGCCCAGGTCATCAGGATGCATGTTTACTACAGGTAGTAATACATATTGTTATTAAAGTCAGAAGTGCAACACCCAAGTGCCGTGTCCCCCATAGTAAACATGCACCCAAATCCAACCCAGGCTCATAGTGGAAACGTAGCCCTACGGACGTTTCTGGAGGCCGTGAAATGAGTCCCGGGAGGAACGTATTGGGGCAGTTTTTGTTTTTGCGAATCCGCAAGAGGCTGCTGTGCCTCGTCTCGAACGCCTCTCGGGAGTGTGCGCCGTTCGCGCCCGTGCTGTTCTCGCGTGAAAAGCCGCCGGAGGCCGCTGTCAAGCGACCATCTGTCCGACTGATCGAATGAATGAATGACTGACTGAATGACTGACTATATGATCGACTGGGTGGCCCACCCTCCTCCTCCTCCTTCCCTAAAACCAAGCGACGATTTACAAAAGCCGTCCAGAAAAGAAAAGCAAAAGCCCTCGTCCGATTTTGACCGGGTTTTTGGATTTCACCGCATTCTCGCACCATCACAAACTCGTTCGCTTTTATTTTTTGGATTCTGTTTTTCATCTTCCCTGATTTCTGGAACTGCTCTTCCCCGCACTCGGACACGGTTGTCGCCGCGGGTGGCTCCTCCTCCTCTGCCAACGTAGCACTACGAGCTAAGCGGACAAACTGGTTGTGGCGGGAAAGCCCTCCACACGGAGGTGAGCCGTCACTGCCGGCGAGCACAAAGAAGAGGAGTGGCATAACAACACCCCGTAGCGTTCGCTCAAAAAAATTAAATGCGGCCATAGGTACCTCCGGCGACATAAATCGCGGTCTCCAGAAACGTCCGTGGGGCTAAGTTTTCAGAATGAGCTTGGGTTGCCCAAATCTGATGCAGAGGACATAATCAAAAATGTTTTTGGTGCACAAAAGTTTTCTCGGAGCTTCCTATGATTACATTTAAACCACTGAAGTCACATGTTTTGACAAATTATTTGACTCCTTTTCTGGACTTTAAACGTCTCTATCCACCTATGGAAGATGAGGGAGCTCGAATTTAATCTTAAAGATCTTCATTTGAGTTCTGAAGACGAATCTCAGGAACAACACGAGGGTGAGTAACTAATAACAAAGATTTTATTTTTGGTTTAACTAACTGTTTAAATAAGCATAACACAGACACTTTCCCCCTTTTGTAAAACATCATCATAAACACCTGTTTTATTTGAAATATTGTTTATAATATGGTACATTTTAAAAGAATTCCTGTCATCCCCAGCAATGTGAGTTTAAAAGGATAAAAAGAGCATTCCATCAGAGCCTTCTGCCTGAAGTGCTTATTTGAATGCCTGTATAAACGTGTGGGAATAAATAGGTTCACATGTCTTTGTTGCAGTTGACAAGCACCAAAGGGACCACTCAGAGACAAGTCTTTCTGGAGGGAGCGCAGAGAGTCTGGCTTTAGTTACAGTTGGAGAGAACGATGAGCGGAGAGTGAGTGAGAGAGCAAGAGGGAGGGAGAAAAGAGGCTGAAGTGCTGAGAGGAAAAGAGAAAGGATGAATGGAACAGGACCACATGTTGGGTCGCATCATCAGTGGCTCATTTCTACAGCTTTGGTGTTTCTAGAAACAGCGAACCTCTTCTGGATTACCAGGTAATGTTCATGAACACCCCATAAACATGGTTTGGTGTTTTACCCCGTTAAATCAGTCTTGCTTCTGAATAATCTAGTGTGATATTTTGGAAAGAAACTGCGTGTTTTGTGTGTCGGGGATGTTTTGCTTCAACCAGGACAGCAATGTTGCATCAAGTCTCTCATGTGTTGTTCATTTTTCTCCCTCATTGAAAATGCAGCGGCAAAACTGTCTCTTCTGTTCTGAATCGCAATCCATCTGAACATTGTCTGCGGAGGAGAGGAGGTAAACATGTTTTCACTCTCACACTGGTACATTTTGGACTTGGAGATCAATGGAACGCTTCAAATGGAGAGTCGCTTCCTTGACTTAATGGATGAATAAATTGCTCTTTAATGGCCCTGAATGGGACGGCTGCTGAACTCAGGTCCTTAGGGATTTCTGCGGAGATTTCCAAAGACACCAGCATGGAGCAGAAGGTGTCTTTGGGTAATGCAGTTCTCAATAACTCTATGGATTGCAATGGGAGCGAAGAGAGAAACCGGTCGGAGTTTTCGTCCTCTGATTATGTCCAGAAGAACTGGGTGGCACTTTTGATTTCGCTGGTCATAATCATCACCGTGACGGGCAACATCCTGGTCATCATGGCGGTGAGTTTGGAGAGGAAGTTACAGAACGCCACCAACTACTTCTTGAGGTCTTTGGCCATTACAGACATGCTTTTGGGAATCCTTGTTATGCCGGTAGCAATGGTGACAATCCTCTACGGTGAGTTTCTTTACATTTTTACGTATGTTTTCAATCATGCATGAGTTCTCTGTATGAAAGAGACAAGGCATTTCATCAAAATAACTGTAAACTTTTGAAAGTACAGCCTCAATAATCATTTTACTACTTGAAATAAATGTTAGAGGGGCGTCACGGTGGCACAGTGGGTAGCACAATCACCTCACAGCAAGAAGGTCACTGGTTTGAGCCTTGGCTGGGTCAGTTGGCATTTCTGTGTGGAGTTTGCATGTTCTCCAAGTGTTCGGGTGGGTTTCCTCTGGGTGCTCTGGTTTCCCCCACAAGTCCAAAGACATGCAGTACAGGTGAATTGGGTAGGCTAAATTGTCTGTGGTGTATGAGTGTGAATGAGTGTGTATGGATGTTTCCCAGTGATGGGTTGCAGCTGGAAGGGCATCTGCTGCGTAAAACATATGTTGGATAAGTTGGTGGTTCATTCCACTGTGGCAACTCCAGATTAATAAAAAGGCTAAACCGAAAAGAAAATGAATACAAGTTAGATGAAAACGTTTTGATGCCAGGCCATTTTTTTTTCAAGTTTTAGTAATTTGGTTTAGTTTTTTTGGAATTCTGTTTTAGTTTTTAGTGTGTCTGTAAAGTTTTTTTAGTTTAGTTATTTTAGTTTAATTTAAAGTTAATTTAAATGAGTAGTAGCAACAAATATTAGTTATGTAGCTATGTTTATAGAAAATAACTTCCTTATTATATACAGAGTTCCCACTTCAAGCCAAATATCAAATTCCCTGACTTTCACTGACTAAAAAGCTAAACTTTAATTGCATCTAGTGAAACAGACCTCTTTTGCGCTTATATTAATAGTATACAGTAATATTAAAGTAATATTAAAATAATAACATAACATTGAAATAGTTTTAGCTTGAATATCATTTTCAAGACGTTAATAGCCGTTATGAGAACATCAATGGATGTGTTACTTATTGTTTTTATGGCTGCAATGAGCTCCCTCTCTCATATTTGATAGCTTGACAGCAGTTTTATATACTCTACATTTAGCCTTTCTGTTATAATATTTAACATTTATATAGTTAAAAAGTAGTGTGGTGACGGTATTTGACTGAAGTGACCGCCAGTTGATGAGGATGAAAGGAATAAAAATGGTGCTGAAAAATAGCCTAGCCATAACAATATGAAACTGCAAATATAAAAATACAATATAGGAAAAGTTATGTTTTGATGAATGGAAAAAATAAATAAATCCACAAACAAAAATCTCTGATATTACATTAACTTTAAAAAATAAATCAAATAGATAAATACATAAATAAATAAAATAAAAAAAATACTGTATATATATATATATATATATATATATATATATATATATATATATATATATATATGTGTGTGTGTGTGTGTGTGTGTGTGTGTGTGTGTGTGTGTGTTTGTGTGTTGTAAGTATTTTTTTTTTCATAAAATATATAAATGGTGCCATTTTTTCAGACATGTTAACGATCTTTTGTTTTGAAAACACAATGTGAATGCTTTAATTAAAAGTTAAGAAATTAGCATTTGGTCAAACAACACTGTAAATAATGGTGGTGATAATAATGATAGATAGTAAAAAATCCATTACCTTGTTAACAGTAAGTTTCCTTAATATACATTAGAATTATTAGCGCTCCTTGTTTATTTTTTTTTTACCCAATTTCTGTTTAACAGAGAGAAGATTTTTTCAGCACATTTTTAAACATAATAGTTTTAATAACTCATTTCTAATAACGGATTTATTTTATCTTTGCCATGATGACAGTAAATATTATTTGACTAGATATTTTTCAAGACACTTCTATACAGCTTGAAGTGACATTTAAAGGCTTAACTGGGTTAATCAGGTTAACTAGGCAGGCTGGGGTAGTTAACGATGGTTTGTTCTGTAGATTTTCTAAAACAATATATAGCTTAAAGGGGCTAATAGTTTTGACCTTAAAATTGTGTTGAAAAAATTGAAACTGCTTTTATTCTGCCTGAAATAAAATAATTAAGACTTACTCCAGAAGAAAAAATATTATCAGACATACTGTGAAAATTTCCTTGCTCGGTTAAATGACGTTACGTACGTTGGGGTACAACTTCTATATGACGTCATGTTGACGTCCAGTGCCTACAGAGAAACGATACGATGTGTAGTTGTTAGTACTTCAAAACACTGGTGTTTAACACTATAAATGAATGAAATATGGTAGTTTACCATCCATTTTTTTACGGTATTTTCAACAGCTAAAAAACTGTAAAAATTACTATATATTTTACAGATTTTTTTTACACTGTGATTTTTTTCAAAACAAATAAAACTGTATTATTCTGAACTCTTGTAATTTTCTGGAGGGGAAAGAGACTCTAAATTACAGTATGTTTTTAGAAAATTCGACTTTTTATAAGACTTAAAAACAAAAAAACATATATTAATTTTTACGCAAAACCCATACCTAATAAATCCAGTCAACCCTGAGAATATTCAAATGACCTCTTATTGCTCTTCAAAGATGTACACAGTATGGGCACACACACACACACACACACACACACACACACACACACACACACACACACACACACACACACACACACACACACACACACACAATGCTTGTCATCAAAAAACAAACAAAAAAGTATGTTTTAAAGTAAAATACTATTAAAACTTACTAGTGTTTTTTTCAGAACACCTGTAACCATTTGCTTCCATTGTATTACTGTCTTTGTTTCTTTTCTTTCTTAACAAATGGAGTCACAAAGCATTGTCACAATGAAACGGCCATAACGATGTGCCATCTACCAACACATCGTGTTATTGTTTGCGCTTCTCAACAATGTGCCACAGACACCGTGAAGTTGTTTGGAAGCCGGAATATGAAAAAGATTTTTATTAACATTTTGAGTGTTTTTCTTCCAGATCAAAGGTGTAAACCCCAAACGTTCTCATCTTATAACACGTGTACCTTTGGAAAGTAAAATAAATGTCTCTTTAGAACAATAATTGTAAGCCTCCATACATTTCGCTGGAAGGTGATTTATTTCAGCGTGTAATGAGTGTGTGTCGGACCGTCTGGTGTGTCCTAAATTAGCTGCTTGTATTCACGCATGGGGAGAGAAATCCCTCTTCCTACTCCTTCCAGCGCTTTGATGAGGAATTAATTATGCAGTAACGATGCTCCGCTTTGGTGTGTGTGTGTGTGTGTGTGTGTGTGTTTGTGCAGCAAAAATTGTTATGCTTCCCATTTGATGTCCTGAAACTTTGACTAAAGAGGGTAAAAGAGGATAAAACATGTCACTTGTTCAGTCAGACGAATGTGTTTTTTCTGACTTATGACAGCTGGCCCTCGGTGAAATGATGTACAGACAGATTTACGATAACACACTGCTAAATTATTTATTTTCCGTCTTTTATTGGTTGAGTTTATCATTAGTAGATCTGCATTTTAAATAGGCTAAATAAAGTCTGACTGAAAGCACAACACATTGTTTCTACTGTAAATAAAACCTGCAAACACGAAATGCAAAACTTAGTCCGAGTGGCCAGTGTAGGGTCCAGCCAGTTGGTCCAATGACGGTATCCAATGGTGGATGAAGGTTCACTGCATGTTCGGTCTTTCCAGTGCACAATGTTGATTTATATTAAACTTAACTCATATCTGACTCCAATTTTAGTATGAGATGGTTTAGAATATTAATATGTTTATCCTCGTTTTATCTGACCCCAATTATAAAACATTGAGAAGGTTATTTTATTTCCGTTCACATTAATTTAGATTATGATTGAATATTCTCTTCGGTTCATCATTTTATGTTATTCTCGTTCATTGGGATCTCTATAACATCCTGAATCTTGTACCGGCCGAGTATACAATTTCTTAAGCACAAGCATGTCAGTCTTGGTCACTAAACAGTTTTGAACGCTATCCTAAAAAGGCAGAACCCTACTTACTCAGATTAGGATATTTTTTATGCGGTCCCCATAGGTCTGCTACCTCCTAAATCAGACAGAGCTATTTAGTCATATAACGATCATTACTATAGAATTAAGCAGACTAGTCGTACTCAAACTAGTAGTAACTTTGAATAATCACTATACTATCTAAATAGTATTAAAAGTTTATCGGGTGAAGGACTATCCCCTTAGATATCCTTTTACAGCCTAAGTATACATGAATAAATGCCAATTTGTTAGTCGGAGCTCTAGAGACATCGTGTAACGTGCCGCAATGCTCCGTCTACCGTGTTCTAGTCCGCTACTAACCTGAACAGGGGCTTGTGGTGCTATGAAATTACCACAATCTACTAAAGATAATAACACGAACTCTGTTTGAATCATTCAAAACATAACAATTTATTAGTCAGGTAAATGTATTATGCCAATTCAATCAGTCAATTCATAAACGATCAATACAAAACATCAAATTATCAAAGATAAATCCAAGATGAAAAAGATGCATTCCTGACTTTGAAATATACATAACATGGAACAAGCCATGTTATGGGCTGATCTGGTTAGGCAGAATCGCCCTGAGCTTTTCTTAGGCCTTACCTTAAATAATCCAAGAATTCCCTCAAGGAAGGGGGTGTGAATGTATAACAAAAGGCATTCACACTCAGTGTCACACCCCTCACAGTGGTTCAAAAGATGCCTGAAGTTATATATTTATTGTTCTGATTATGTCTATTTCTGAGAGAATGAGACCATTGTACCATGTACCAATCGCACTGAGACATTTCAAATGATATCAAACATGATAGTTAAAGTCAGTTTGGTTAATTCTAGAACATTCAAACATTGAAATGACCATATGTGTGAGTTAGGGGGATGAAGCAGACTCAGATGCAAATGCAGCAGGAACTGGTTTTTCCCGCATTCCCCTTGCTGAGTTGTGAAGTTACCAGTCTCTGTTTTCAGCTCATGTTTTGAATTGTCAAAGATATCAGAATATTTGCAATATTTCAATTCTTACACCAGAAAATATCTACATCTAAGTCTTTTGCCCCCTGAAACAGGTTATTCCCTCATGTGTGATGTAATGTTGTTACATAAGAAGGGTAATTGAATTTATATAGCCCTCGTGAAAGTGTGGTTGTGTTCAGGGAGGCTCCAGGCGCTGGATCTCTGTTGTCAAATGAATCTGTTGTGAGATTTCTATAGAAGATTCTTTGACTTTACAGATGGAAGGACACTAATGAGTGTGATGACGAACACCGTCTGTATCCCATGGGTTCAGACTCTTGGGTTTTAACAAATGTACAGAGACTCAGTGTCTTCCAAAATATCTCTGCACTTTTGGAGTCTGCAAAATAAATGGCTGATTCCTGTGAAATGCAGGACTTTGTTTTTCATAATGAGGAAGCAGAAGATATGTGTGATATATAAACAACAGATGAACAATAATGATATATTAGTGTACTGTAGCTGCGTTTTTAAACATCACAGTTGCATTTTAATATGTTATACAGTATAATAAATTACATAAAGCTGGCAGCTAGCTTTTCCCAGTGATGGCTGGAGGGGCATCCGCTGCGTGAAAACTTGCTGGATAAGTTGGCGGTTCATTCCGCTGTGGCGACCCCGGATTAATAAAGGGACTAAGCCGACAAGAAAATGAATGAATGAATGGCAGCTCTGCATCTCTCATGGTCGCCCACTCAAGCTAAGCAGGGCTGCACCCGTTCAGTACCTGAATGGGAGAACACATGGGAAAGCTAGGTTGCTGCCGGAAGTGGTGTTAGTGAGACCAGCAGGGGGCGCTCAACCTGACATCTGTGTGGGTCCTCACGCCCCAGTATATTGATGAGGACTTTATACTGCTCAGTGAGCGTTGTCTTTCGGATGAGACTTTAAAGGGCACATAGGTTACCCCTTTTTTCATATTAAAATAAGTCTTTTGTGTCCCCAGAATGTGTCTGTAAAGTTTCAGCTTAAAACACCCATTAGAGTTTTTATTATAGCTGTTTGAAGTGTCTGTATTATAGCTGGGAAAAGGTTATTGCTGTTTTTTTGCACTGGGCCTTTAAGGCTAGTCATCCCCGCCCACCGTTCCCACGTGCCTGTCAGCAACATGCCTCAATCGCCGCCCTCGGCTGCCTCAGGAAACAGATCTCATGTAACATTTGTGAGAAATACTACAGTAGGAACTTTACCAATCAGTATTTGATGCATTTTTTTGTGGAGTTGCAACAATGAGTTCACGCACACACAGCGCACACACACACACACACACATAGCACAGACTCGTAGCGCAGACACACACACACATACATATCGGTGACACGCAGACACACACACACATAGAACAAACACGTAGCGCAGACACACACATACATACATAACGCAGACACACACACACACACACACACACACACAGAGAGACGGTGACAGAGACACGCGGATGTGCTGATGAAATGAATCTGAAGTGAATCGCTGTACTTCATTACACACGTGCGCACGTTTTAAAACATGTTAAACTTGTAAAACTCACTCTTAATCACGTTTGACGATGATTGTGATCCTAGCAAACTGATATGATTTCGATATGATTATATGCATTACTACGGAGACATGTTAATGCGCGCAGCTGTCAATCAATATTGGTGGGCGGGGGGACCGCACTCCTACGTCAAGTTGCGGTCGATCTGAAAACCGCTCCAATTGGTCCACCGTTTTTATGTTGTTAAATAAAAAAAAAAGGACTGGGTGTTTATTTCACCCCAATATGACAGTATATACACTATACTTACACACATGTCTGTCCAAACAGCTTTAACAGATTAGATTAGATTTTTCGCCATAGGTGCCCTTTAAACCGAGGTCCTGACTTACTGTGGTCATTAAAAATCTCAACCAATCAGCTGGTGTGTGGTGTACGGTCTGCCCCAATACGGCTTTCATTGCGTCATCCAGGTGGATATATATAAAGTGCTTTGAGTGTCCAGAAAAATGCTATATAAATGTACGGAATTATAATAATAAAGAATAAAAACTTCAACTTTATGTCTCTTGTGTGTTAGGTTACACCTGGCCTCTCCCTCGCACCCTGTGTCCGATCTGGATCTACCTGGACGTTCTCTTCTCCACCGCCTCCATCATGCACCTGTGCGCCATATCTCTGGACAGATACATCGCCATCCGCAACCCCATCCACCACAGCCGCTCCAACTCCCTAACAAAAGCCCGCGTCAAAATCATCGCAGCCTGGACCATCTCTGTGGGTACGAGTGTTTTTTAAGCTTTTTAGTAGGGATGCACAATATATTAGCAGCCATACTGATATCCTGCTATTTTCAATGCTGTGGTTAGTAGTCGGAAAACAAATTTAGGTGGAGTTAGCACAATTTATTACAATTTTTTAACGCTTGAATTTTGATTTTGATTATTATTTAGTGACTTATATTTATTTACATTATATTATATTTATTATCTTTATGTATATTGTTTGTCATTTATAATTTTTTTTAATTATTTTTATTTTATTATCCCCATGTTTATTTTTACTTCAATTTTTGTTTAACAGGGAGAAGACTTTTTCAGCACATTTCTAAACATAATAGTTTTAATAACTCATTTCTAATAACTGATTTATTTTATCACCATGATGACAGTAAATAATATTTAACTAGAATGTTCGAGACACTTCTATACAGCTAAAGTCACATTTAAAAGCCAAACTGGGTTATTTAGGTTAACTAGGCAGGTTAGGGTAATTAGGCAAGTTATTGCATAATGATGGTTTGTTTTGTTGATAGTCAAAAAAAAATGCTTAAAGGGGCTAATAATTTTGACCTTAAAATGGTTCATAAAAATTTAAAACTGCTTTTATTCTAGCCAAAATAAAACAAAAAAGACTTTCTCCAGAAGAAAAAACATTAACAGACATACTGTGAAAATTTACTTGCTCTGTTAAACATCATTTGGGAAATATTTAAAAAAGAAAAAGAATTCTAAGAGGGGCAAATAATTCTGACTTCAACTGTATATATATATTCAGAGATCAATATAAACTTTACTGAAAGTAATGTTTTAATGTAAAATCATTTGTAAACTATGAGTTTTACAAAAAAAAATATATATTTATAGTTATTGGCTAATATATCGGCTATCGGCTTCCAAATGTAACTAGCTATCGGTTATCAGTATCGGCAGAGATGGGCGGTATTTCTGATCCGTATTTCAAGTACAAAATAGTATGTTGTCATTTGTATTTGATAAGGTTTATGAAAATATGTGAATATTTTGTATCAAAATACTTAAGTGTCTTGTATTTTTGTATTTTTAAAATACTGTAAAATACTGAAGTCTTCATGATGACATCATAAAAATGTGACCTCTGATTGGTGCTTTCTTAGTTATTTGCCTAGGCTTGAGATCAGAAGAGAAAATTGATTAATACTGAAGAAGGGCTTCAATGCTTATAGATGGAAATTATGCAACAACAAAAACACCTAAAGACTGGTGTTCACTAAGGGGGTAGACTGAGACACTTCCAGTTAAAGAAGAACTGAAAAACTCTTGAGAGAAAGAGTAAACTGTACTAATAATAGTAGTTTTAGATGGGTTGCTGATGTAGAAGCCAAGAAAAAAAGACATCAACAAGATTAAAATAAGTCCCACAGTGGTAATTCCTAAAATACTTCATTGGTGGTTTCAAATGCCAGGAGTTGATCTGCAGGTGCTCTTTATAGTTAATGAAGAGGAAAGATGTCTCTCTGTCAAAATGTAAATTTATTTATACAAATTATGTAAACAAAATAAATAACTTCTTCATATATTACCCTTTTAAAATACAATATAAATACAAAATATATACCCTTTTAAATTAAAAATTCATATTAAAAATATGCCAAGTGACCCAGCCGGGACACAAACCAGTGACCTTCTTGCTCAAAGAGAAGAGGTTTATGAATACCTACTCAGGTGTTTTTGTCTCACAGGAGTAGAGGTGAACAAGGTGCGGACCAGTGGACTTAAAACTTTCAAACGCTGTTGCTGTTAACTTCACTAAGTCAGTTTAATGGTGAAGAGACTGATCAAATATGCCTATTGATGGAAGGTTTGAGAAGAAATTTCATCAAGAACTTTTATTTTGATACTTGTTGTGGCTGCTGTATTTTGTAGTTTATTTTGATACATGTAAAATTGAGCTATTTGGTGTTTTATTTAAAATACATTTCAGTTTATTTTTGCCCGTCCCTGAGCATCAATATAAAAAAATCCACATTGGTGCATCCTTACTTTCCAGCTCAATTCTGAAATGCTAAACAACTGAGTCTGCATCCATTAACACTGGCCTGCCAAAGCTGTCTTCTCACTCTCATTTTCTCTCCATCTGTCTCAAGTTATCTCCATGCCTGTTCCAGTCCTCGGCCTTCATGACCACTCCAAAGTCTTCCGCAACGAAAGCTGCCAACTTACGGACAACAATTTCGTCCTGATTGGCTCGTTTGTGGCGTTTTTCGTCCCGCTCATCATCATGGTCGTCACATACTTTCTCACCATCAGTGCTCTACAAAGCGAAGCGACTTTGTGCCTGGACCAACTCATCGTGCGTCCAACATGGTCGTCCACCATTGGACTCCTCCCTCGAGGTTCAGTTTCCTCTGAGCGTCTCTTCTCACGCTCATCAATCTGCCGAGAAGGAGCTTCCAGAGGATCCGGACGCCGATCCATGCAGTCCATCAGCAATGAACAGAAGGCATCCAAAGTGCTCGGCGTGGTTTTCCTACTTTTTGTGATCATGTGGTGTCCGTTTTTTGTGACGAACGTGATGGCGGTGGTGTGCGGCTCCGTGTGCGATGAAGATTTGGTAGGCGGGTTGATGAATGTGTTTGTTTGGGTTGGATATTTATCATCGGCGGTCAACCCGTTCATCTACACACTCTTCAACAAGACTTACCGTGCCGCGTTCGCCCGGTACATGCAGTGCCGCTACCATGAGGAGAGGAGACCCCTGCAGCTGATACTGGTCAACACAATCCCCCCTCTGGCCTACAGCTCCTCTGGGCTTCCCCTGAAGGTGGAGAACTCATTACGGAGGAAAGCAGAGGGCAGCCGGTCTGGGAGCTTCACCAACACTGAGAGGTCAATCTGTGGAAGCACACAAAACAAGCAGGAACGGGATGAGGTAGTAAGCCATTTGTAACAGACCCTAGAGAGTGTTTAATTGGGGTCCACATCAACAGACCTCGCATTATGGGTGTAAACGCTTGACAAATGAAGCCTTTTATTTTAATATACACCTACCTGTGCAGGACAGCACAGTCAGCAGATGATACTACCTACAGCTCACAGCCAAAACAGGACACAGATGCTTTAAAACTGGGCCAGTAGCAATAAACTCTCTTATTTTGTAAAATATACTCATTTTAGATCACAAATATACTGTACTGTATGAATAAACAGCCTGATCTCACTAGAAAACATCCCTATTTTACGTTTTGTCAGGTTTGTGGCTAATTTGTATGAATTCGTCATAGTACTGTGCGTTTACAACGAAAGTAGTGAGAGCGTCAAAGTAGCAGAACTCATTCATTTTCAACGGGAGCCGATGGCGAGGAGTGGCATGGATTATCTTCGCCGGTGTAGGCGGCAAGGAGAGCTGAAATCAAGTCCATTTTATGGTAATGAGCTATGACACAGTTCAGTGGCAAGCAATCAGAATGTGGACGATTTTTAAAAGGAGGCGTAGCACCAACCTTTACCCCTAAACCCAACCGTCATTGGGAAATAAGCAAGTCGTACTAAATTGTACGTATGAGATCCTACGAATTAGCCACTAAATCAAAAAGTTACGAATTGCCGTGAGATAACATTGGAATAAAATATATCACTTGCATTTTGAGAGAATTAGTTCAATGTTCATTAAAGGGACAGTTCACATGAAAATTCTGACATCATGTACTCATCCTTCACTTGTTCCAAATTTTATTGTCTTTCTATCATTGAGCGCAACCAAAGACATTTTAAAGAACGATGAAAACCCTTGACTTGTTTAGTACTAGTTTTTCCTACTATTTATGTTAAGGGTTTTAGCTCTTTAAAAATCTTCTTTTGTGTTCAACGGAGGAAATAAACTCATAAAGGTTTAGAACCACTTGAGGGTTAACTTATTATCATTTTAGATTGCATTGTAAAGACCTGTACATTATATATGGGTAGATTAAATAAATATTACATGGAAAAATTTGTCGCTTTCTTGAGACTGATGGACTCATGGTCAGTTCAAGTGGATGAGATTGGGCAAATGAACTCGCAAAACAATTCACCCTGATTCATTACATGCCATCTGAATGAAAACCAAATGCAGACAAAGTGATGTGGGAGGCCAATAACAGACCAACTTGGGACACTGAGAAGTGCTAAATGAAAGTGTCCAAACACTTTTTGACTTTTAGTCTTGCCAGACATGCAAACATTTTGTTCCCAACAGTTTTCCTAGGACATAACAGGGTAGGTGCCTTAGTTTAACAACATTAAAATCAGGACTGCATACCCACAGGAAAAAAAGACTGTAATTTATAGTAAGTTTATAGTATAGTAAGTACAGTAATTTAAAGTATAGTATAGTATAGTCTGTAATGTGTATTTATTGTTGTGGGGGGTCCAAATGATGATCCAAATGTTGACTACTATAGTATAGTATAGTATAGTATAGTCGTATAGTATAGTATAGTGTTTTTGAACCCTACTATATTAAAGTACTTGGGTTATTTTTATGTGGCAATTTTATAATTGCTGTTGTAATAAAACTACAGCTATAAAACAAATTACTCGATGAGTACTGTTATTATACAGGGTATATTATACTAGAATATATATAATTTATTAGTTAATTGTGGTAAACGCTAAAGTATACTTTAGCGTTTCTTACAGTTTATTAGTTCACTATTGCTAATATTACAGTATGTTTTAGCATTCCTTTATAAAGAGTTATAATACAGTATAATACAATTAATTATAGTATGGTAGTATGGTTCAAAAACTATAGTTTTTTTTTCACCAACCAATAATATCACCAACCAATAATAAATTTCCATTTAGTAGATAAAATCTTTAATTTATCCTTCAGCTACATGCCAATGTTGATGAGTGTGCATTGCTTGCGTTTTGTATGTTGCCTGCCTTTTTGTATGGATGTTCTTGGAATAACGATGTCATTGGTAATTAAAAATAATTGAAAGTTCATGACAGTCATGTGACTGTGATATGAGAAATCAGACACGACATAACAACGGGGTCTGCTTCTCGCGATGCGATGTATGGATCCATCTAGTGTACAATATGGGCAAGGTAAGATTTGATACAGCATAGATTTGAAATCGTGCTGTTAAATAATTTTTGAACAACAGACAGACAACATGAAAAACCGTACAAAAATACTCAGGTGGAACTTTTAACCTCATGTTAAACATAAATTCGTAGTATTTTGGTGGCTGCAACACTGATGAATGATTGGGCTGTTTTCATATGTTAGCCTACCTTATGTGGTAACGTTAGTAGATATGTTTACTTAACATACTGTAGTAGCCTACTTTAAGGTAACGTTACTTTAAAGAAATTATGAAAACTTGTATTTACCTTTTTAATAGTGGAAACTCTTATCTTGATGGTTATTGTACACCTTCTCTTTGGTTTAACGGAAATGTACACGGCTACACGCATGCGCCCTAGTGGAAAGCACAAATACTACATTTTGACTTGCTCACCACTGGTTGGCGCTTTGTTTCTCCAGTCCAGTCCATAGACTGTGTTCCTCTATTTTTCAGCCAGTTGTTGCATTAGTACAAGCTATAGTATCCTATAGTTTAAAATCCCTCTGTGACTTTTGGGCTTGTAGTAACTAAACAGAAACAATTTCTGTCTAAAGAATATGATTTTAAGACGACTTTAATTAATTTTACATTTAAATGTGTTTGCAGACTGTGTACTGCTTTGTACTTTGCTTTATAGCATTAAAAAAACTCCTTATGTGGGGGGTTAAATTACTCCCTTGTTGTTTAAACTAAACAATAAACAAGACTTTCACATTTATGACAACACTATAGTTTAAGTAAAACTTCACACAATTTACTGGCTTATGCCTGCCTATTATTAAGACATGAACCGTTTATTAGCACTTATAAAGTATGATTTGATTTTACATCCCTCATCTTACCCAATATCTTAACCCAGCTACTACCTTATTAACTGTTAATAAGCAGCTAAGTATTAGTTTTTGAGTAAAAAGTCCTAGTTAATGGTTTGTTAATAGCATGAAATGTACATTCAAATAAAGTGTGACCATATTTATTTTAAAAATTGCATTTGAATTTGCTCAATTTTTGTCAATGGTGAAAATATGAGCTTAACAAATTGTTTTTTAACATACTAATAACCTGAAAGCATATTATTTCCTCAATAATTCATACACATTATATTGTAATAGCCTAATATAGGCCCATGCCAATCTATATGGGACATTTTTTTAAATAAAAAAAGAAAAGAAATAAAACCTAACTGAAAAATAAGTCCTTTCCAGAATTTTGACAAATACCATTAACAAACACATTCACACTGTTCGCGTCACGGTGGCGCAGTGGGTAGCAAAATCACCTCGCAGCAAGAAGGTCGCTGGTTCGAGCCCCGGCTGGGTCAGTTGGCATTTCTGTGTGGAGTTTGCATGTTCTGTGTTCGCATGAGTTTCCTAAAAATGCTCCGGTTTCCCCTACAGTCCAAAGACATGCAGTACTTGTGAGTTAAATAGGCTAAACTGGCCATTGTGTATGAGTGTGAAAGAGTGTGGGTGTTTTCCATGGGTTGCAGCTGGAAGGGCATCCGTTGTGTAAAACAATTGCCCTGATTAATAAAGGGACTAAGCCGAAAAGAAAATGAATGAATGAATGATTCACACTGCTATTATGGTTTGAGTGTATGCAGGGGTGGATTTAACCTATAAGCAAGGTAAGTGGCCTTTAGGGCCCCGCAATAAATACCTAGAAGTTTCTATAAATTATAAATTATGTCATTTCAATCATATTTTGTAGGATAAGCATCTAACAAATGCACAATTGTACAGATGTACTAATTAAGGTAAATACAAATTTACCTTAATTAGTACATCTGTGCAATTGTGTCCCCTTGTCCCCCCAATCATGGACCAGTCCAGCAGTCAAATCAGATGAAAATTTAGTTTGAAAAACCAAATAGTTTATTCATTATTTTTAGTTGTTACCTCATTTTAAGCAAACAAATATTTTAAATTGTAGAGCTAAAAACAATAGAGAACTCAAGACTGAGTGATATAAGAAAGGGACAGCTAACTAAAATACGAAGAGTGCATATTACTGTGTAGGACTCTGGGTCCCATGGCTTGAATTGTTTATGGCTAGGCCCACTCGGAATCTGCGCATGCAGGAATTTGCAGATTTTCTGCCCATCATTGAGTCTATTTGTGTACTTGTGTAAATGTGAGTACATTTATATAAATTCAGTTTTTCAAATAATTTCAGTACTAATAATGACTAATATAAATGTGTTCTTTTGATGTATTTACAATACGTTTTGTAAATACATTTCAAAATACGTTTCGTAATACATTTGTAAAGTAATATTTTCTGTCTTTTAGTAGATGTATTATATGATACACTTGTTTCGTTTATCAAATGAAGTGAATCTAGATGGATTTGCATTGTATACATTAAATAAAAGTCAAAAGGCTATTATTATTTATTTCATGTAAGTTTTTAATTACAATACTCCCAAAATAATTCAGCATAAATCCGGAGATTTTTTTTTTTTTACAAAATTCTTCCCAGAAATAAATGTCCGCAGATTCTGTCTGGCTCTACTTATGGCCCCCAAATTACTAAATCCGGCCCTGAGTGTATGGTTATATATGATAAAGTGGAACAAATAGGAAAATATAAATATGAAAAAAAAAGCAGTTGGCTTATTATTTTTGCTATATTATACTAATCGAGAGTAACTCCTTTCTGTAGAGAAAGAAAGAACTTTAACAATGGAGATGGACTTGGTTATTGTAAATTAACGACCACAAACTGACAATTCTGTCATCATTACTCGTGATAAAATTTTTACAAACTTGTTTACTTTTTTGCCCCGTTGAAAACAAACTCAATTATTTTAAAATGTAAGCATTGACTTCAATGTAGGCTTATTTGTTTTTCCTTCTATGGAGGTCAATTGTTGGTTTGTAACATCTTTTCAGAATATCTTCTTTTTTGTTTAACAGAAAAACAAAACTCATAAAGCAAGCCTTCATAAGTAAATGTTGAATAAAAGTCCATTTTGGAGTGAGCTATCCCTTTAATGTAAATCTAGTGTCAAGTCGTTGCCCTTGCTTGTACCTTCGGGAGGTCCCACAGCATTATTTTCTTCTTATTTTCAGTGTTCATACTTCAATACTGTCAGCTTTGCTGTGGAGAGCTATTCGGTTTGTTCAGAACTGATTTACAACCTTTATTTGTGTTAGTTTTGCACTCGATGACATAAATCAGTTTAATCATTGACAGAAAATGTACGAGCAAAAGTTTGCCCGGCGGTGACGTGTGCAAACTCAACCGGGGCAGATGATCGTGAAGACACGCGGAGCGCAAAACCTGCGGGGATTTAAACGCGCGCGCACCATCACGCCACAGGACGGCACAGACATGTCACACACCTGAGACTCCTGCTTTGCAATTGTTTGTTAACGAAAGGTAATC